TAGCTATTTTATATACGGAAATACAAAATACTGCTGTAAGTCTACAGTCGTCCCTGATAGGATAATGTTATTCTTATCAGAAGCCATCGCATATGAACAGTATTAAATAACCGCTGTACGCTGATAGTGACAGTCATGTTTACCTTGGTTTTAAGTTTGTAGAATCCTATCAGTGCCAAGTAATTCAAATAAACTCATACTGCACTACTGATAATAGCCTGAGCAGCTGCTGCACACGATGATGTACGCTGGTGTTGACAAAGCCATAATTTAATACCTATAACACATTACTTCACTAAAATGTCACGCACAAGAGGAAAAATTGTACTTGGCTTTATGTATTTCTTTTTTTCATTTCTCTTATCTCGCTTCTTATGTATATCTGTATCTGTTATAATTTGGGTGCTGTAAGTAATGCAAATAAATTATCTACTTATCAAAATGGTAATGGTAAACTAATCCTCTTATTAGGAGACCTAGTGTTACGGTCGTAGACTACATTGGCACTCTCTCAATGCATTCTCTGTCTACGGCTCGTGAGAGCCAACCCGACGACAACATATTTTTTCATGTCACATACGATGATATGATGATAAATCTCTCCTGAGAGCTCATGATCGACATTGATCACCAAACTCTACCAACGGGCTTATTGGAAACAAATATTAGCAATCCCATAGTTAGTAACATTTTTCAGATCGATCTCCACTCTGGAATTGTGATCTATATATAATGACTATTGTAATTAATTCCTGCTGGATTAATTACGATGAGCCACTGACTTAAGTTGATCTTCACCGACCTACAGCGCAAACGGGCTTGATATTCTATTGTCATGCATTGGAAAAATCCATAGTTTTAATTGTGAAGGTTACTGAGATACGGTATCAAGGATTACTTACTGGTGTCTTTCTCTGCGCCAGAAATAATTAAGTCGAGACAGATCTGTCTGAAAAACTTTACCACTTTAGTAAATGCTCATTAGTATTCTTCACGCTAAACTCTCAACGTCGTCCAAGCCGTTCGTCCACAGGCGAAGCACGTATCGCAAATTCACAACAGAGCTCTAATTATGACGAAATTAAATTAATTTACACTGTTCTAGTAACTGGTCGAGTAAGATGCATCACGCCCTTATTGCAGTCTCTAAAAACCACAGAGTCTGAACCAACCTTTCCGATAATAACAGTGATTATTTGGGATTGGTATCATATAACCCCAATTCAATAACTAATTATTTTAAATCATTATCTAAATACATTTGGTTAATAGCTCACAAACACTCATAATCTCGGCTGAGTTCACAATTACCCATTAGTTAGTGTACATTTTGCTTTAAAGTTTAAAGTCAGTTCGTTCCTTTCTTTTCGATTCTTTTTTTGTGCTTCTTTGCTATTATTATAATGTTATAATAATATTCCAAGGTAATCCATTACAAATCCATCCACGCCGGAATTCATTAAAGAAACTCCATTAGAATTCCTTGAAACATTAATCCCCCTTTTCTAGTAAGCACATCATATCCTTTGTATGTACCGTAACGTTTATTTTGAGAGTATGGATTATAATTTTATAATCACGAAAATTGTACATAGTTTTCTATGTGTTCATGCCTTTAATCTTGTTATTATATTGTAATAATTTACATATAGGAACACGAAACAATTTACCTAAATCTATGTCATGTAATTTAATTACTTCAGTGGTAATGAAATGTGTAATAACGCCTCCATTGCCTTAGATATTGAACATACCCGGATTTCCCGCTCGAAAACTGGAGTTAATGGATTAGAGGTTCCGCCGTACGGAAGAATACAACCAAAATAAAGCTTGTTTCTAAGCTAAACGAGGCCAAAGCCAGAGCTCGAGAGAATAGAGATAATGTAAGGTAGCCGTTAGCAGAATGCTTTGCTACCTTTATCGTTAAAAAAAATACTGGTAAGATTTAGAAGGTTCTCAAAGTTTGTTTGGCGTCGTTTTAGCATTAGAAATTGTTTATTTTGAAATTCGATTCTTACTATTTGGGTCTTTCAATTTTACAAGCTATAATATATTGATAGATATATTATATTAATAAGAAGGAGGATAGAGAGAAAGGTTTCTATAACAGCAATGACGTATTAATTCTAATAACGGTCACCGTTTCCCAACTGAAGTGTCAGTGACATAGCCCTCAATTTATATTCCAATGTCATATATATTAAATGAAAATGATTTTTATGCCAAAGCGCCGGATTTTTGGTAACTAGCCAAGATGGCATGATAGGTAAACTACCCGTGCATCTAGGACACCAGAAGTGGGGCGAAGTGATGCCTATTTTACAAAAAAATATAAAAAATGGGTTTGCGATTGTAAAAAAATAGCGATCCGCCCCAACATCGCAGGGGTAGATTCAATTTTTGAATTTTTATTAATCAACCTAGAATGCCTGTATGGCATATATAATCTGATGCCCAACTTTATGGAAAATGGCAACCGTCGGCTATAGACATGAACTGTACCATGAACATAGCAGAAAACACTGTATCAGCCATTATAACATAGCCATTTCAAACCGAAACATGCAAACACAACTACTTCACAGCGTATATACAATAGGGTCCTTTAATACATATATACAATAGGGACCACAGAAAGAGCTTCGCTGGCTGTACTAGCCACGACTCACATGTACAACGGCCCAAATGAGAGGCTTAGTGCGGAAATGAGAGTCCAATTTACATTTTTACAGTTCTTTAAGCAATGTTCCTTGTTTACCGTCGTATAAAACCAAGGCTGTGTTTTTGTTTGAAAGTTGGGAGACGGATGATACAACTTTGTCCTTTGAAATGACAACGAATGAGGAGCTTTATGTGTATTACATTATATTTGATATTTATGGTACTAATGTTAGTATCTACTACTACTTATTTGCTATCCCAAATTGCATAAAAAGTCCACTCTGATCAAGAAGTATGTTAAAATCTACTGCTTTCATATTATCGTTTATAAACTCACCGAACATTTCTTCTATCTGTCAAAGCATCAATAGCTAAATGCCAATTCGATAACATCACAATAAGTATCGGCTCGAATAATTCGTGACAGGGGCCTGTTTGGCTGGCGGGCAACACCGATCAATATCGGACCGAATACCACGCGATGTGCCATAATCTAACAGATTGCACACAGATTTGATATCGTTCAAGTTATCTAAATTTGTTCCACATTTTATATTGCATGTTGCTGATTTACGATTACTTGATTTACGAGATCAATTAATTTATTTTTATGGCATTTTGTAAATTTAAAATATGGCTTTAATTTGGAAATTTGTAAAAACCCCGTCCAGCTTAGAAATTTGACCTTTTCTAATTTTGGGAATAATACACTCGTTTCGAGGAATACAATGCAATCCCGTTGAGTAGTTTCGTTTTGTTTTCTCTTGACGGTCTAGTGACATAGTTGGATAACGAAAAGCTTATCGTTTAGGCTCCACTGAAGTTCATCATGTTATTAATAAATAATTTGTATCATCATCATCATCATTATAACAGCCGTTAAATGTCCACTGCTGAACATAGATCTTTCCCTTGGGGAGGTTTTGCCAGTAGGTGCCACGCTTAGCAGGCGGGTTGGCAACATAATTTATATGTCTTTTATATATTTTGACCTAAGCATCGATTGAAATTATCGATTTTTTTTTATTAAAAGTATACATATATATACATCTGTACGTATGTCTGTAGTGCACTATTATAATAAATTTCCTAATTACACAAAATGTCCATTACCAACTTGTTTTTAAACAAATCTTAACCAACAGAACAATATGAGTAATTATATAAAACCATAAATGAAAAATATGAGAGCTACTATTATTCTGACATATTTGAATTTTTCGTAGTAAATTCGTTTGGAATGGGACTTCTTGCAACTTGTTATGAAAACCGTTTATGGCTTACCATACCGGTAATAATTTTCCTCAGTTGCAACCGATTTAAATACAGTTCTGCCTACAATACTCAAGTCGTAGTTAAATGCAATGCACTCAGAAGTATGGCTTCAGACTTCACAATAGTCAAGGTACAAACTAGTTACAGCAATAATATTGTTCTATGTTTATTTAACTGGTACTGTATAGAAGAATTCTAAGTAATTTATATTTCTAAAATGTCTTCATTTAAATATAGCCTGAAGCGCAACGTCAATAAAGAAAACATTTCTCTTCATTTTTTCTAGTAACTTAGAACGCAAAGAAAAACGGGTATTCCACTTAATTTCGTTTTGGTCATTGAATTTAAATTTGGAGCACCGAATGGATCGGCTAATTCCCTTTTCTCGTATCGCAATTGGCCTGAACATAAAAAGATGTTATCGCTATGCAAACCGACTAACTTTTTTTGTAGCGAATGACATTATAAATCAGTTAGTGGCATCTGTCAGTTTTATTATTTTTCGTTCCACACAGACCAGTATGCGGCTGAGAAATTTCGTTTATTACGCTTTGTTGAGGCCTGTACAAAATTACAATTTCCGGGAGACGTGCATAGCGTACCGTGTACGGGTCTGTCCGTAAGTTACGATACGAATTTCAGCATGTGCACACTACTTACGAAGTTGCTTTTATGTTCATTATATTTCTTTGGTCCTTTCTATTTGTACGTGGAATATTTAGTACTTACTCCTTTACATAACAGTTGTGATAGTTACATTTTTATGGTTTGTATCAATATTTTGTATGTCTTTTTTATGAAGGAGGGTAGCAAACAAGCTTTTTTGGCTTGCCCGATGATAATACGCTCTTTTTCCTCATATGGGATTTGTTCAGAACTGTTGCTGCTGATAATTAGTTCTAGTAAAAATCGCTATTAACAAATATAATCTACTTAATGTTATAAATCCTCATTGCAGGTTTTTAGAATTTAAAGTCCATCGATAAAAATAAAAAAATGGCGATTTGGGATTTTTAACTCCTGTGTAATAGTATGTTATAATTCTGTTTTCTTATTGTTCACAGGTACAACGGAAAGAGCATGCCTAATCACGGGCTCAGTGGAGGGAATCATGGTGGTATTGGACTTTATCATGGACAAGATCAAAGAAAAACCGGAGCTGGTGAAACCGTTCCCAGAGGGAGTTGACACTAAAATGCCTCAAGATAGAGACAAACAGGTAAACTACATTTGGAACTATTATCTAGTGATCTAGTAGGGGGACACCCCGGAATGTAAGCGTAATTTTCGGCTATGCGTAAAGATTTGTCTAAGAGTATATTTTTAAGGGGCCTGATCCTTAAGATACAGTAACGACATAGAAAAGCAATGTCTGATTCCAACTCATGGACTTTGCAATAACAATTTCATCGATGGATTTATTTGCCACTTATCTAGGGGAGCTTGTCTCCGCTAAAAAATAATCTTAAATACGCCATCGGACTAAACAAATAGGTCCTCGTACCATAAATATTTTGAAGGATCATTTTTGGTTCCAATAGTGGTAAAAGTGCTTTGTAAATTATATTTTACGTTTTTCTATTTGTATTTCTTATATTATTTAGCTCGGTTACGAGAGTATCTCGGTTACTATGCGGGAAATGTACATTTCCTGTTTTCTTTAACAACTGAATTGCCAATTAGAATGCTACGCTGTTGTCATGGAACAATGAAGATATTTCATACAAATTTTCCTCTACTGTAAATATTCGTATCTGATGCTGAGAAGATTTGAAAGAGCTGATTTCATTGTCCAAACAAAATATTCATTTTACAGTATATCAGTAATTCATCATTAAAATTATCGTTATACATTACATTTACTCTTACTTTGTTATCTGTTTCGTTTTGTTTGTCCATATCTTTGTTAAATCTCATAATCAATTCTTGTATTTTTTTACTTTTAATATTTGTGAGGATAGTCGTTAAACAGGACATCATAATGTTTTGTTATGTTTATTGATTTATAGAAAGCGCAAAATACGTTGTATAGGATAGGTACTACATTAATAATGTTATTATTATTTAGAATTACGGTTCATTTAGGATCAAATACATATAATTCAACTTTTTTCTATATATATGCAGTCTACTTCCTAAATTATTATTATATATATATATACAAATACAAATATCAGTATAGGTTATATGATGGACAAATAACAATCCCTTGACAATGTATTAACTTCGTCATCTTCAATCTACATACATTGCAGATCGTTCTTGTTTACAGTTTAACATTACACCAGGAAGAATCCTGTCAGGATATAGTAAATTTTAATAAGACCAAAGAATTATTTCCACATTGTCATTCATTATCACTTCTCTGTCAAATTGTCAGAAATATGCGATAGATTGATCCATCATTGAGGCCGGGGCACGTCCACAATGCCCCGCCTAGATGTACCCACAGCCTAATTCCGCATTATGAATTCCCAATTCATCTATTTATGCCACGCCCGAATATAATCTTCTACAGCAACGGAATTTTAAATATTTTCGTGTACGTTTATCTTGTGTGTTTGTAGTAAATTTCACAAATTATGCACATAAATTTAAAAATACAATTATCGAATTGACGGTATTAATTGTTGGTGGCATTTGATCCCACCAAAATTTTGAATTTACAATAGCACATGCAACTCGAATACGAAGCAAAGGTAGGTATATAGTAATATAGTATTGTGTGATATTAAAACATAAGAAGTTTTTACAACGACAAGTTATAAGTTCGTATAGAATAATATAATACATGTAAGTACAAAAATAAGACCAAAAAAGTATATTCGGTTAAAGGATTTTTTTCGGCAATCCCACGTGGAAATGCTAATGAGAGCAGCATTATGGGAACCTTTAGACCGGATTGAACAAGTGCTTTGATTCAACGATATTTTTGTGATTATATTGTGCAATATCTTCGCGCCAATTCGGAACCGACATTGTAAATACTTTTGTCTTCGGTACGATTTTGTTCTGTTGTTGGCCCCGTATTAATTTTGTTGTAATTTAAACCATTCTATTAATATTGGATATTGTTGACACGTGGTAGAATTTGGAATTTGTCTTAATATTACTCTACTTCTACAGATTCAGTTTGTGGAACTAGTTCAAACGTTCTCACATAAAAAAATTCTTTAGTTGTTTTCTTGTAAAATAATCTTTAGTTTTGTTTTGATGGCATAATTATATGTATCGTTAAAAATACTATATAACGATAGTTTTTCCTCAGCTACGTACGTTCTATAGATATAATAATAAGCAGTTGTAGGAGCTCTTGTAACTGAGCGGAGGATAATGATGCTAATAAAAAACCTCAACAATCTTCAAGGCAAAGCATTTTCTATTTATTCGATACGTATTTAGTTAAACTGAATAAACCAACTAGAATAAGTCTTAGTTACATACCACTTATATCAGCACGCGTCCTACCGTCAACAACAAAAGGCAACGGCGAAGTACTAGCAGCTAAGGTTTTAGTCTCTAAGGGCCCTTTTTTATCCCGTATTGTTGTCTTTATAACGAGAAGAGCATCCCAAGCCTTGGGACTGACGTACGGCGACTCACGCGAGAAAATCACATCTTAAGAACTGCTTTATGCAGATGATCCTTGTTTCGGAACGTTCTATTTTAATTCAATATTCATCTTTAGACACATTTTATTTTCGACCGCTGGAAACGGCACTTTCCGATTTTTCGTGCCTTACCACAATAACTCGCAACTAGTGATTTATTGGGGTACACTAAAACGTGGAATCAAGATCTTAATAGTTAAGGTTAGCAATAAAAGCGTCGTGTACGATAATGTCCATAAATGTTAGGTAGGTTAGTAAAGCAAATATAAATGGGTCCTTATGAGTATACCTATTCTTGGTCATTGAGTGTTACTTTCTTTAGGATAAAGTTACGTAATGTTGGAATCTTTAAAATATTACAAGAATTTGCTTTACTTTCAGTCAATATAATAATAATAGATTTTTACTGAACTAGTTGTTATCTCGCGGAAGTCCATATCACTGGTTATTTGATTAAAATTATTTTGTTTAATTTAGCTACCGTTAATATGTGTGTGACTGCTAACAATAGTGGTGGTCAATCTTCGAGTGTTGGCAGTCGCACACATATTAATGGTAGCGGAATTAAACAAAATTCTGATCAAATAACCAATAATAGATTTTGTTACAAATGAAATACCGATTTAAATTATTCTATTTTAATAACGAAAGTATTTCACCAATTTTAATAAAATTTCTATTGGAATAAACTGAAAGTATACTAGTTTAGAAAAAAAAAAAAGGATTTTCCAAATCGGTCTACAAATGACGAAGTTATGAGATAACAAACAGAAAAAAATAGAACCAAATTGAAAACCTCCTGTTTTGAAGTCAGTTGGAAATAAAGTAAAAGCGTTCTTTACTGGAGTCAAAGTAATAGAACGAGCTAATTTATGATATGTACCTCGAGGCGCCCCCCGTTCATATTTGAAATATTTAAATAGACGTTTCTAAAATAACGATAGAACTTGATAACCGTTGTAAAAAAATAACGAGGTTATTAAAACAGAGCACATGTCATTAATTGTGCAATGATGATAACTCCGTCGCGTTTATCTGCCAGAATTCGTAGATAATGGAATCATCGCTGTGCGAAATTGAACCGTAATTGAATTCTTTTTAAAGATTAAAACCGTGTTTTTATTGTATTAATTGGATAAAGTTGTACTTGTTGGTTTAGGATACTGCTGCTTTGAATTGTAAAATTGGATACACCACATAATGTGTTGACGCTGAACATAGGTATAAATGGAAAATGTGACGACGATTACAATATAATGAGAACGCACACTAATGTAATTTGTTATTACCCGAATATGTCTTGCAATAAAATACCAGAGTAAGTACTTAAATTATTTATATACGTACCTACTTAACTTTGGATAAGGACATTTAATTTCTATTATAATAACACCCTCCGAGCCAAGTCCGTCACACGAGTAGTTGGCATAGGGCCTGTATATATGCATTACTCGATGTGCATTACATTTTATTATATTTGCAAATTTTTAGATAACTAACTAACGATCTCTGTAAATTACGTACAAATCTATATGTGTATTGTGGTATTGCGTCATGATTATTTCGTATTCACAGTCCCTGTCGGCTTCTAATTGAACAGAAAAAGTTGTATCAAATCGACGCTCCCAGTTAATGTAGCAAATAATACTTGTTTTGCTTCGTTGTTATTTTAAAATTTGAGCTCGAGTTTAGGCCTCTCTTTTTAATTCTGCTCGGTCAGGGATTTTAAATGTCCATATTTACTCTAGTAATGCCTGACTTTATAGCAAATTTTATAAATCTGTTATTTCTTTGCTTTGACACGTTTCTTATCAATATTCATAATGTTTTTAGTCATGCTTTTCCATTCGTTGATTAAGATTAGTTTCTCCGTGTAATCTTAATAGCATTAGGCAACAGATGATTTCTAATAAAGATAGCTAATAAATAATAAGTAAATGTAATTAATGTTATAATTAAGAGACATAACGATGTATTAAATCGTAAAAACAGACGAGACATTGTCGAACAGTTTGCAGCAGGTGCCTCAAGGTATGGGGCTGTCGCGTGTGCACATATTGCCAAGGACGCGTAGTCACGGCAGAAGTGTCTACTGAAACGATTGAATTAAAGGCGATTATTTATCCTAATCTAAATAAAAAACATATAATACCTGAAGCATTCAACAGTAACAAAACAGAAGAGTTTAATTAAAAATCTATCGTGTACGTAATATACCAAATGCAGATATTGAAACGAGCGTAAATAGTTACTAGCCATGCTATGTAACTAGTAGTAGACGTAGTTTCTTAACCAAAACTATAATTACGAGCGAGAAACGAAGTTGTTGTTCCGCCTGTTTTTTTTTTCTCATTGCACAGTTTGTTCAAAGTTGGCGTGAGATCAATTACGCATTGACTCGGTTATAACTCATGAAGTAGTTTACCCTAGATAGTGATAATTTCTGTAGGAATTTCGCTATTTGCTAGTTTTCTATATTTTTCAGAAAAGTGATATGCCAAATTTTAGTTCTACACTCTTTAATGTCTGAATAAATTGTGTATGACAAAATCTGATGAATAAGGAGATATCTTTGTTTTACTTAATCAGAGTTTGTTGCAACAATTGAACGTAAACATAAATATTTATAATTAAGATTAGTAATTCACTTAATATTCAAAATTATAATTAATAATTCATGAAATATTTACTATTCATGATTAATATTTAATGTAGCTATACGGATTGGTCTTATCTATAAATTAATAACATTTAATGTATATTAACCATCCTTACTAAATAAATTTTGTTCGCCGAATTTAAGTATTGAAATTTCATACAAAAGATGTGCCTTTCATTTCGCTCGTAATAGTGGCTGGCAGAGTTCGACCTTGATTACCATAAACCATCATACAGGCCAGTATGGCACAGTTAGACATTCAAATTTGAATCCATTGCTATTCATTGCTCGTTGCATCATAATTGTTCGGTGCCATCACTGCCATTAATGATTAGCACACCATAAACATTTTTGTACACAACACGTAATAATTCGATGTTTGCAAATGTTTTGTTGCGTCCAGACTTGTCCATATCTGTACTCTTGACTTAATGTAAAAAAAAATTTCTAACTTTCACTTATAATTCTTTTTCGCTAAGCTCGTTTTCACCCTCTAGCCCGCTATTTGCATAATTCCTTTGTTACTCCAAAATTACACCACAAGGAGAACATCAAAGTTAGAAAGTTTTCAAGTGTAATAATTCGTTTGCTGAAATCCGTGATATCCTCTACAATCTCGTTCGTTACATTGGGGGGCGAGTTAGATTAAAAAATAATGTAGAAACAAATGACGGATATTAACTGTTTTTAATCATAGGTCAGGTTTTATGAGTCAGCGTTATGTTCCAAGATTGACACACCGTGAACAGCGATTACATATCAGCGGTTAGCATCTTCTATTCAAATAACTATAGTGTGGAGTGTGGTCGCAAGGTCGTCGCGGACACGCTGCTGCCTCCCTCCCACATCGCGTTTGTTAGCAGCAGTAAAAACTAATTCCAATTTTTTTTTTTGTGAACTTGATAACCTTCATTATTCATTGACACTGTTTTTTGTACTACGTATAGGCAGGAATCTTGTATGGTATTATGTGGAGACGTTATTACATAAATAAAGATAAGTATTATAAAACTTTAGTATGTATGAACCTTGTTTAATTAATTCGGTTTTTATAGTATTATTTAACAAAATAAACAACATTGTTTTAAATTTCGAATCTAGTTTAATTACCTTATACATATATAATTTCGATTCTCGATTTACATAACGTCGTATTAATGTTTAGATACGACTACGTGATACTTTACTTACAAATTAGCATTTTGAGTATGTGTACATTATATTTTAAAGAAGTAATATATATTCACAATTCTTTTCACTAGACCGTCCTTTTATACATCAGCTAAATACGTTGGCGCATTGCAGATGACTACGAATTTCTGGGGAGTACCTCAAGGGTCGTTTTTGGACCACTTCAAATAGTTTAATATAGTTGTGTTTAAATTCAAAATTAGCTATTTACAACTTATATTATTTATATTAGGAAATCGTTGCGCTTTTAAGTGTAAATGAAATAATCTAAATAAATAATAATAACTACCAGAGGGAAACTTTGTACAAAAGTCGATTACTTGGGTACCTCTGTCCCATTCGTGTTTCAACCGTGAAGCAGTTGTGTTTGCATGGCTGTGTTTCGAGTTGAAAAGTGGTATATGGCGTGAATTTACTGGGTACAGAGGAATAACATCTGAGTCTTCAGGAATGGCAACGCATGGGGGCTATCATGGGCGAAACAGTATACTCTGTTATGTCCATGGTACTGCTGAATGTCTATAGGCGACGGTTACCACTTTCCATCAGGTGGGCCGTCAGCTTGTTTGCCATTCTAAGTTGCATTAAAAAAAATCTTATATTAGTAGCGTTACTTGACAATAAAAATATTTTTGGTCAACAAATTTTGCAGCTTCTAAGCTTGCAAATTTGGATAAATAATTTGGCTTTAAAATATTCAAACTTCTTCTTTTTTATTACCAATACAAAAGTTGTTTTACGCAGGCCGTGTATATTTTAAGAGTTTCTATTGTAAATTTTAAACTTTCACTGTCTTCCTTATTTATGTAGAAACTTCAAAAAAGTTTGTCAGTTTCTGGGCTTGAAAAGGTTGAGTTCTCATTTTGTTGTTAAAGATTTTTTTTTCTATTAATAATATGAAAGTTGTGTATCTTTTAACTAACTGCTATATTGCATTATAAACAATAATTATATTGTGATTTGTTACTTAGCCGATGCAAGTGTTTTGGAGTCTAAATTTTAATGCCCAAACAACGTACCGTAAATTAATTTAATAGTATTTTTTACACGACTTGAAAAAGCAAATAAATTGCTGATCCATTTAAAAGTAGTAAACGTCACCTATAGTCCTTAACAGCACTACAGTAATTACAAGATATGTAAAAGTGTCAGCCATCGTGTTACATTGAACTACTAAAGCGAATATGGGAGGTCGAAATTTTTTTTTATAAATCTTCATTCAAATATTTCCAGTCCTTAAATCAAAAATACAATGCAGAATAACAATTTAAATCGTCTGCTACTTTGGAAGCAATAAAATCGAGATCAAATCGTAATTCAAAATCGAATAGACGTCAAATGGACGTTACCTTACTTTACATTTGACGTCTACAAGATGTGATTAGGGATTGATCCCAATTCGATCACGTCAAAAGTCACTCCGCTGTTTATTAGGTATGGATAATATCTTGTTATCTGCTATATCCAATTGCAACTGTATATTGGATTTTCAATCGAATTCAAAAATGGAAGAGGATTTCAATTCGGTTGTATTTTTTTTTTATGTTTGTTACCACATGACTCTGTTGTTTAATGCCGATTCGGAAAATTATATTTTTTTATCTGAAAGGGTCAAATTGGTCTTATGGAAATTTTATCAAAATCAATTTAGTAATATTTAAAGCAAGTTAACTAGTTTTGCAATGATCGAAATCGGTCCTTTTGTGGAACTCAGTCTTAAATTACGTGATATATTTTAGATGTAATATAGGAATACTACGTACAATGTCAAAGTCAATGAGTTCCTCAAAGATCTGATAGCGAAAAGGACATCACCTGTATTAATACGCAAGCGAGTTGATTAAACACTAATTTATTCATTGAAAGAATAAATAGAACAAATTGTTACCGGCCAGTATTTACAAAATTATTAGTGGCCAGTACGTGAACATAAATAATGTAAATTAATGTAATATATGTTATTGTTGCAGGTGAAAATACTAGTGCCGAATTCAACAGCTGGCATGATAATCGGCAAAGGTGGCAACTACATCAAGCAGATAAAAGAACAGAGCGGTAGCTACGTGCAGATCTCGCAGAAAGCCAAGGAGTTGTCGCTGCAGGAGCGGTGCATCACAGTAGTCGGTCAGTGGCTTACATTATATATATATATATTTTTTTAAATTTTAAGGAAAAAGTTATGAAGAAAATGGTAATCCGTGCCCGTGAGAGATGAAGGCGGGAATGAAAACAGATTAGTCAGCCCGTCGTGACAAGTTCCACAAGAGTCGACCACAATATTTTCCAGTGGAAACCGCGTGAAGGTCGACCTGATAGGCTATATTGCTATTAGCTTATTTTTTAGATGAGACTATTAGACCCCATAACTAACAAACCTTTTTCCCCTTATATTTTACTAGCTATAGGCCGCAGCTTTGCTCGTATTAGCAAGAATAAAAAGCTTCAACGTATATATGCACCAAACCCCATTGTAATCCGTCCAATAATTCAAGCCTGATAAAGTAACAGATACACAAACTTTTATGTTTATTATATTTTAATAACTTGAAATAGAACCAGTCTCCTGGTACGCCTAGATGTGTAAAGTCCAGTGCTCAGCAGTGGGCCATTGATGGGTGGTAATCCACCCCGCACCATTGTTAAATGGTGAGGTTAATAATTCATACCATATAACTAGTAAACTGTATGTATGCTCGTATCTTATGAGTCCCCAGTAGGCACGCCGTGAATATCACACATGCGCAGTTGTCATTCGCTCACATGCTGTGTGTAATTGAAAGCGTATATAGATATACATAGCATTTATGTATATAACTGTCAAATAATAATCTTTTTTTCTTTTGTGGTAATTTCTCAATTTGAAAGAAAGTTAATAAAACAGTGATAGATAAATTCTGTTTGTATGAGGTTTTAATTTTTATGAATTACTAGCCGACTCAGTGAACGTTGTTTTACCAAATACATTATTTCGAGAATTATACATGAGAATTTATCGTACTACAATTATTATATTCGATTGTCATCTTGCAACCCTATTGCGGAATATAAAAAATCGCGATTAAAAAACAGGGTTTGATCGTAAAATCGTGAAAATTTGAATTTGTATGTATTTTTCAATGCTAAATCATAATAAAATAAAAATAAAAAAATTTGTCAAAAAAATAAAAAAAAAATTTAGAGGTAGGTCACTCTTATCATTGAGGGGTATGAAAAATAGATGTTGGCCGATTCTCAGACCTACCGAATATGCACACAAAATTTTATGAGAATCGGTAAAGCCGTTTCGGAGGAGTTTGGTAACAAATACCGCGACACGAGAATTTTATATATTAGATTATTTTCGACAGGTATGGCTGTATTAAATACTTAGTAATTATTTATTGATTACAAATTATAATAATATAGAAAATTTGGAAATTATATTTAAATAATTGTTGTATGATTTAAAAAAATTTCGGACAGCACTGAACTGTACGAAAATTTCAGTCTTAACCCCTAGTTCTTGTTTTATTTTTTTTATTACGTTTTGAGTACTTAACATTTACCTTATTATAAAAATTCATTCAAAATTTCTCAACGTCACTAATTATTAGTTAAGTATAAATGCGAAATGCATATTAATCCTTTATTGACAACTAGCGAGCCGCCCCGACTTTTCACGAGCAGATAGAAAATAATAAATACCCTTTGTTACTCGCTAATTATGTTACTCGCTAACTACATGGTGAATTTTCAAAATTAGCTGAGTTTTCAAAATTAGTTAGTTTTTGAGTTTATCCATTGCTAATAAATTACCAAATCTTTCCTTTTTTTTATGCCACTAAGGTAGCAAACAAGCGTACGGCCCACCTGATGCTAAGCGATTACCGTAGCCTATAACACGCGCGTTGCCGACCCTGAAGACACCTCTTTACCCCGGGGGAAAGGGATTGTTAGTAATGGAGACTAAGAATCCCATTGCTAACAATATATCCAACCAGGTCGACCTCCTCGCGGTTCCCCCTGGAAATTATCATGATTAATTCCTGATGAATTCATCATGATGGGCTAACTGGCCTGTTTTCATTCTCATCGATCACCCTTCACTGGTGCCCCGCCAGCGTATCCCGTTATCGCAGGCGGGGTTACCATTCCATTTTCATCCAATAAAAAAAAAACCTCTTTACTCCTTTTTTCAAGAACCCCATGCTGTTATAAATTGTGAAAAATATTATAATATTAGTATACATAAAAGATTTTTCCAATAATATTGTTGTTACCATTTCCAGGCGAGAAAGAGAACAACAAGAAGGCGTGCCTCATGATCTTGCAGAAGGTGGTGGACGACCCGCAGTCGGGCTCGTGTCCGAACGTGTCGTACGCGGACGTGGCGGGCCCGGTGGCCAACTACAACCCGACCGGCTCCCCGTACGCGGTGCCCACCACCGAGGTGACAGAGGTGACGACTTGGACACGCTCCAACAACGCGTCTGTGGCCGCCCTAGCGCCCTCTGCTTGGTGTCGCGGTGACGGGGCGATCGGACCAGGCGCACAGCCACACTAAACTTTACGACCAACCTATTGATTTCATATTGAATTCATATCTTGATAAGTCTGAATGAAGGAAAATAGTAAATGGAACAAGTTGTAAAAAATACTCGGATATTTTAACAAATGCAACTAAAAGTTTTTGTTTTGTATATTTTATTTTTTTCTAAATTCAAATTGGCCAGTACTCTCATGGGGAATTAAAGTCAGTTTAAAACATATTTATTACGATTAAATCGAATAATCAGTGACCAGATAGAAAACTATTATAAAAGCCACGCCCTTCAGTCATTGCCCCTTAAGTTGATGATGGCTATTTTGTTTTAGTTTTGTTTAGATCTGGGTTTTTTTTTTTAATGGATTTTACATCCCGCCTGCTCTAACGGTATACGCTGGCGGAATACCAGCGAAAGATAATAGGTGAGAATGTAAAGGCTGGTCAGTTAGCCCATCGTGATGAAAATACCTAAAATTCAGCACGATGGTTTCCAGGGGGACCCCGAGGTCGATCTGACAGAGCATATTGCTAGCAATGAAACTGGTAGTCCGCATTACTAATAGTCCCCCCCCCTCGTCTGGGGGGCTTAAAATCATTTCACGTGACTCAATATGATTCATTTCGTATAACTGTCTAATGTACTAGTCCATTATGCCCTCAACGCGAGATGATTAATAAAATCGACAAATACTAAATGAAAGGGCTATAAAAGTGGCAAACGAATCTATTCCATAGACTAGTCATTGCTGTCGCGTGCATGTGTTAGAACGAGACAGTAAACGTTTCGTTATCATGCAATGAAAACGTATCTGTTGTTTTGGTTACAAAATAAAAACTTGTATAATTTTTTTGTTATCATTAGCGTTTTCAACTGTCATTCCGGCTCGTATAGGCTTATCAAGATTATTAATTGGAACTTGTTATTGATAATTAATAGTTTGGTCAAAGTAATAATTACTATTCTAATGCTTAGCGCAGTCTAATAAATTGTTAAAACAATGTATTTGTTGACCTATTGGATATGATATAAGGCTTATATTTGCATTAAGAGAGAGGACGCGGCACCCTCCGCCCCCTCAGCGCACACAAACGGGTGGAAAGCAATTGTGAGCGTGTTTAAGTGGTTACACACCCCTTGCTCCACTCATGATGCTCAACACTAGACTAACAGCCATGTTTTATTTTATTTCACTATTAGATTAGGGCGTAAGGCGATTAATAACTTATTTATCGACAAATACTCGGTATGTTATTTGATAGGAGTTCACTCTGTACATGGTGTATTGGGTGAATGTGAATGTGTTTGTTACCTCGTGACACCGTCAGTATAATATGTAAATCAATATGGAACATTCTTCTTTCTATTTTACGTGAATGGATCCTATGGACCAACCATGGGAATTTTATCAAAGTCTGTATTCGGTAGTTTAGTTTTTAAATCAAAATTACTTGCCAGAATTGAAATAGTTTTTTTTTTTTTTTTTGTGAAACACAATTTAATTTTGTTATGTAATTAAATTAGTAATTGTCAACCTTAAAAAAGATTTTGATTAAGTTTAAGTATATATATATATATATATATATATATATATATATATATATATATATATATATATATATATATATATATATATATATATATATATATATATATATATATAAATAACAACAAATTAATAACAATGTTAGCAAAGGCGAACTTACATATCTCTGAAAGAGATTTCTTAATTATGAGTTATGTCACAGTGCTTACTTTTAGATGCTTGAGTATTTGTTGTATGAAGATTTAATCTAAAAAGGAATAGATGTGCTGTTGTAAATATATGTTTATTAACGTTCATATGTACTTATGACAATTTGCTTCAAGAAATATACAGAAAAAGATATATTCAAGCAAATGTTACAATATTGCTGTTTGTGGGTTAGATTTAGGATTTTGCCTACTTTATAGTAGTGTGGATTCTTTTTATACTCTTTGTATAAACAAAACGAAAAATATAACAAACAAGTAGACAGGTCACCTGATGTAAAATGACAACCGTTGCCTACATACGTGAACAACTTCATGGATATTACAGAAAACGCCTATAATAGACACGACAGGCCGTATGCTATTGACATTCTATCAGTTGCAAATATTTCTAAGCGACTAATTGACAGACCCTGTAATAATAGTTGTGTATTTTATGCTTATTTAATTCTTTAGACATGCATATATATATATATATATATATATATATATATATATATATATATATATATATATATATATATATATATATATATATATATATATATATATATATATATATTTGTGATTATCCTACAATATATCTATTGTCTTGTAAGTCATATTGTATTCTGATAATTATATATTGTTTGTTCGTCTACACATATAATTACTGTTATACGCTTGGGTACCTCTGTCCCATTCGTGTTTCAACCGTGAAGCAGTTGTGTTTGCATGGCTGTGTTACGGTTTATGGCGTGAATTTACAGGGTACAGAGGAATAGCATCTGAGTCCTCAGGAATGGCAACGCATGGAGGGTATGAGCGAAACAGTATACTCTGTTATGTCCACGGTACTGCTCATGTCTATAGGCGACGATTACCATTTTCCATCAGGTGGGCAATCAGCTTGTTTGCCATTCTAAGTTGCATAAAAAAAAAGTTACTGTAAAGTAGAATCATCGTAAATATTAAGGATTGTAATTTTTTTTAAATTTAGAACTTGAATAGTTTTGCGAGTGACAAGTTATTTGTAACCGAGTACGCGTCCCTCGTACAGGGGCACGCGCTGGGCGGGTCCGTGGGCTCGGTGGGCTCGGTGCTGGTGAACGGCGCCGCGGCCGCCGCCGGGCTCGCCGCGCTCTCGCTCACGCTGTCGCTCGCGCCGCCCGGCGCGCAGCAGCCCGCGCCGCTCACGCAGCACACGCTCGACCACATCAAGGTACCGCCGCCACCACCACCACCACCACCAACACCACGCACGCCCAATGGAGCTGCCTCATCACCAACAATCCTTCCCTCCACCCCTCGTTCGCGATTAGTTCTTTATGAATCCGTCACTTTCATTCTCACCTAACATCACCAACGCATGTGGATAGCGCAGGCGAAGCCGTTAAAAATACTGCTCTAAATATGTCAATAACTTAGTGAACGTGGAACCGGCAGGTGGCCCTCCGGCAGTCTGGATACTCGGAAGCTGGTATCAGCGAGATCAGCGCGGCGCTGTCGCTGCTGGTGAAGCACGGCGTGTTGGGGCTGGCGCTGCCCACGGCGCTGCCCGCGGCGCCGCTCTCCGCCGCCTACTTCCCCCTGCCCGCACAGGACCCGCCCGCCGTATTTGGGCCCATTGGACAAGTTGGCCTTGGTTAGTAGACGCACCGCGCACACACTCCTACTTTTCCTCTCTCCCCCTCCTCATTCCGACCATCCATCACCACCACACATATTTACGATTCGCCGCTACACAGCATTTTTCTTTTTATTTTCCTCCAAAATAAGTAAAAGTGACTAATGAAATGATAAATTATATGTATATAGAGTTTACCATTATGTATTAACATTTGCATTACATGTCTTTAATTTTACATTAAACATTACATTAGATGCGTGTAGCTGCGGTCCGACTTCGTATATTTATATATATTGTTTTAATTTTCAAACAGACGGCAGCGCACACCAGCGAGGACTATATGGTAAACTATATACATACATTAATTAAAAATCGCAATCAATCACACATGTCTGTTCCTCAAATTACGATAGCCTATTCTACGAGTATAAGAAACATGACAAAGGATGTCGGGACATAATGCAGTATCATGTGAACATCAGCTGAACATTGGTTAGTCATGTTTTTCATATAGGCTCGATATCTGCAGATTACTATATATATACACACATATGTCCTCTAGTAGTAATTAAATCTCTATCAACTATATTAATATAATAATAGTATGCTTATCTCGACTATCCAAGCCTGGATAAGCTGATTTGCCGTTCCCAGTGTCTTTGTTTTATTTCATTGTTTACTTACATCTTATAAATTTTCTCTTAGAACATATAATCATAGTTTGTGGTCCAGACAACCTTTCATTATCACATTGTCAATAAAGTTAAGGCTTAATGTATTGTAAGATAAGTACGCGTGACCTTAGCCTTCAGACGTACTGTTGCGCTACCGTCCGTTGGTAGTACACCGTTCATGAACTCATTATTGCATAATCCCCAGCAATGTGATCTGCGAATCTACTGTTCTATTGCCCTATTCCTCGTATTGACGAGAAAAATAGAAGCTCTAAACTTTTGGCATATAAGAATTGTAAAATGTGTATCACAGTTTCATCATGTTTAGCCTCATCCTCGTTCCTGTAAATTACTTATTCAATAACAGAATACTAGCACATTGGTAATAATAAAATTAATAATTATATTTCTATAATGATTATGATTTTGTATTACCAAATGCCAAATAAGATTTCTTACTGACAACTTCCCTACAAATTATTTATCCCTCTAAGAGGGGATAAAATTTCACGAATTTTTACTTATTGTTAGTATTACATAATATAAAGCTATACAAAACTCTTTCGATCATACATTGTAGACAGATTGTAGACCCACTATTTTAGATTGCTTTGTTTATATGAGATTTGGATGTTACCCACAGTATATAAATATTGTTATGAAAATTCTGTTCCCTTTTACACGTCCCCTTCATCTTGCTCACACTTACACATCATCTCATCCGCTTTCCTTGTGATATAATAATTATGATTTTAACTTAATTTTGAACGGAACTTTAAATTTGATTATTATTTCTAATTCTATGTACTATTTTTATTATTACAAAAAAAAATATACGTAGAAATCTTTGCTGAGTTCACATTCCGAACGTAATTTGATATCTGAAAAAATTTGGTATGTGTTTTTTTTTAAATGTGAAGCATGGACAAAGATTTCTAAATATATTACATTTTTAAACCGTAATTTGAAGATTCATTCATATAAGAAATCGTTATTTTCATTCCGTTACTTAATGTTTTTATTTTTTATTGTCAAAAATGGGAAACAAGATGGCGAACAACTCAGTGGAAAGTAGTAGCCACTATATGAAAAAACCAACATAAACACTATTTAATTGATGCCTGTCACGTCCATTCTATGCCACTCCTGAGGACTAAGGTTGTCTCATACGCCTCGCATCAATATGTCCAAGCCTTATATTTAGTGTAGATATAAATTTTCCACCCTATCTACCATAGTCCCCATTTACCGCAGTCAGTTCTTAAAATAAAAAAATAAAATTATCAAAAACAATATAGTGTTAGTGTAAAAATAAAAATAAAAAAGTATTTTGAAATAAAATTATTATATGAAAAAATCATTAATCATATTTGTAAAGTTGATAAAAGGTATTTTAGTGATTTTTAGTTATTTAAAATAAGTTGTATTTTCTGAATTATAGAAAATACAAATATTTATTGACTAAATATATGTTGGCCTATATTTGCAATGGTTGGTCCTTATGTCTGTTGGTATAGAACACCAACCATGGTATTAACTTGGTGACACATACGCGCTACGACCACCGGAGTGAGCGTACACGTGCATATTTGTATTTATAACAAACTATTGGTATTTCATGGTGTACTTCTTTCTATTTAAAAGCACAGACAAACAGCAAAACTAACAAGAGTTTTATACCGCACTAAACACCCGAATCGATCCAATGAGAGTAATGTCGCTTATTTACTATTACATACATACATACATATCTGTCACCGTGTCTCCCATTAGGGTAGGCAGAAACAATGGAACGCCAAATGCTTCGATTCAAACAAACCTCTTTCGCTTCTTCCACATTCATCAATCTTGTCATACACGCTCGTCGGTTACGGGTACTTTTAATTTGGTCCTTCTTCAGCACGTCGCCTATTTGGTCGACATACGTCAGTCTAGGGCGGCCCCTACCGACATCTCCATTCATTCTTGCTCGATAAATCTCTTTCGTAATTCTTCTTTCATCCATCCTCTCCAAATGATCAAACCAACATTACTATTATTTGAGATTAAATAATTTCGAATTTACTAAAAATAGATAAAAAGATTTACTTTTTGTTAAAAAGAGTCTTCAGTCATTAATACCAACTAATCGTGTAATATTTTTACCATCATGGCACCATTTTAAATGCATAGCGGAGCTCTAATTAATAAATACTTGTAATTCTATTACATTATAATTTTCAATTTTTTGAATCGAATGAATTTGTATGTATGTATAATTTTCATTTATTTTATGAAAAATAAATAACTCTTTTCTATACATTTATGTAAAATGTTACTACTGTTCGAAATAAACAAGTACCAACTAAAACCAGACCATTTACATTAAAATTTTATATGTATTTTTTTTTTTTCTAATCTACGTTTAATTTGGGATTTTTGTTTTTTAACATATTCCATAATTACTAAGTATTTTTTTTTAAAAAGGAAATTTTTTCAAAAAATTATTAGTGATCACGTGATCGATTGTTTTTTCCAGTAAAAAGTGTCAAAAGAAATAATGATAATGGCTTTATGATGATTTTAAAATGCAAATTGTATATACATGGACGGATTCGGATGTTTGTGTGTAGAGGTAGCCTACATATAATTGACTGCTGTATATTACACGTCCAGCGTCGCGTGTAACCCTGTCCATCCATCTCATTACGCTTCAAAATTCTAAATTTCCTCGGACGCTTCTTACCATCACGTCTCGATTGGCTGCCGTGTTTCAACTCAAACTTCTATTGTTAATAAGCTTCTGTTAATTTTTACTAGTGGACGCGTAACATTTCAATTCATTCCGTAAAAGATTTAATAATACCTCATCCCCTCAAACCATTGTTTTGTCACCTGGTTTGTGATATTCTTAATTTATGAATATTTCCATTACTCTTAAAATAAGAACTATGGCGTGAAATTAGATAGTTACATAATTCACAATTCACTCAAATTTTAATATCTTTATTTTTCTCCTTTCAATTGCAGCTTTCTACAATTAATCCCTATTCGCTACGACTTTGAGTCAGAAGTACACTCCTCCACTCCATCCACGAATATCCCCTCATAACCTCCTAATTTTAATTTCCAACATTACTGTAACGATTACCACGCCATCTTGAATATACAGATAAAATATAGTTCAGTACATTCAATTCCTTTGCCTCGACTACATAGTTAAATTTTAGTTCTCAATAAAAAAAAAAAAATAATTGAAATGAGGCGCGTCCGATTGTGAATTTTTTTCTAGGGTTGTCTTACAGTATTACGTTGTGATAATTGCATGTCCGAGCACATTATGTGTTGTATTGCTGATTTATGTAACAATTGGCTTCTTTGTTGTTATCTTATAGCCTTCTCGTAACATTTTTTTAATTTCTAAATTTCTAAACATCGCTTCTTCATACCATCTGTCGGCAATACATAACACTTGGCGTTGTGGATATGGTAAAGTATTACATGCATATATACATACATACATATAATAATGTATTTCTTTTTCTAAATTATTTTCCATATTATATATATATATATATATATATATATATATATATATATATATATATATATATATATATATATATATATATATATATTAAACTGTTTTGCCAAGAAATTGTTTCTTCTGAGATTGCGCTCTGTATACAAATATTTTAAAGATCTGTGACAATAATTTTTAAGATCGAGTTTATTGACACTATTTCCGTATTCTGTACTTGGTAATCTCTATTTAGCAATGATATTAATATCCTGGTTATATTAATATATAATAATAAATTAAGTATAAATGTTAATATATAAAAATTTCAATATTCTCAAAAAATAATTTTTTTGTTTTTTGCCTTTTTTTTTATATATATAATTTTATATACTTTAAATAGTATTACTAATTTCTTAATCAGTAAACACGGTCATGCTTACTTATAAGTATGTAATCGTTCTTATGTATGTATGTATGTGAATTTACTATTCACAGCGCAGGTGATGGGAAGAACAACATAAAAGATTACTAGCACCGCGCCTTTATCACCAATAAAAATGTATAAGTATAAATAAATCTGTCAACTTGTATCATATGTATGCTTCTTTGTTTAAAGATTTTTTTATAATTTAGCTCGTCTTGAGACCGCACGGTCCTGAGCTAATACGAGGACAGCATTTAATCTTCGTTTGAAAATAAATTTTAACACTCAGGTAAAAATATTTTACTGTTAACATTTTCAGTCTGGAAAGACCTTTAACCATTTGACTTGCTTAACAGGATCATAGAAATGTTAGACTGTTTATTAGATATGTTGTGTCCCTTTTCATGGCACAGTGCTACTCGGAATTTGTAGTCCGTGTTGTTCTTCCCGCCACCTTGTTCCAATCCGCACCACAGCGCTACCGTAACTCAGTACATGAATGTGCGCGGCGTAATCACGTCGTGGCACGTGCTTGTGCTAGTGTACGCCGTTGTTTGCTATCCACGTAGAGCGTTCAGTGGACAAACGTCTGCTCCGGCCTATTTACTACCCGCAATACAAGGGATTGTATAAAAAAATCAATTTGGCTTCATTTACACATCAGTGAATATTGTATCGGTTCGCAAACCACTAATCGTCTTTATTTTGCCTTGACTCATGAATTCATTCGACTCGTGCATCGTTAAAAATCATGAGTGGGTCTGAAAATATGAATTCATCACGAATCGATATATCACAAAACGATCCGTTACCAATAACGAATGAAGCGAACGGACCGTTCATGATCGATCACATTGGCATTTTAATATTATCTATAATACGACAGATTAGTGGTTACTGATCAGTCGATTCGAGTTCTTTAAAAAAAAAACTATAAAAAGTAAAAAATATTCCAAATTGGAGCCAGATGTGACACGAAACAAGGAATACGTCGGAAGGCGTCGCTGTGTAAACGTTACTGCGACTCGTGTGAACGTGGTAGTGGTGCGGCGTGCACTGGCAGGAACGCTGTGCGGCGGTTCGCTCCGCGCATCGTAACCCTGTGGCACCAGCGCGAAACGTTCTAATGTACGTGTCACCCGGCCGCTCCCGTCCCGTCCCGTCCCGTCCCGTCCCGTCCCGTCCCGTCCCGTCCCGTCCCGCTGGCGGCTGCTGTACCCGCGCGCGTCCGCAGGCGCGGCGGCCGGCGCGCGCGGCGGCTCGTTAGAGCGTTTCGCGGAGGTTGCATTCGAGGCGCTTCGCCCCCCAGCCGTGGCGCCCATCTCGCTGTCGGCGGGCGTCGGCGGCGTCGGCGGCGTGGGCGGCGTGGCCGGCTTCCCGTCCGCCTCGCTGCTGCCGCTCTCCAAGAGCCCCACGCCCGCCGACGCCGGCGCCAAGGACTCCAAGAACGTCGAGATCGCCGAGGTCATCGTCGGCGCCATACTAGGTCAGTACACTTAATGGTTCTGTAAGGTTCTTCATTACGCTCTGTTGCTACAAAAATAACAAAATTGTTTTATTTCATCCATCTCCGAGACTATCTTCTGTCATTATATCACACTTTTAAACCTAAATGATTGAATGCCTTCTGGGTTAGTAAATATTAAAAAAAAAAAATGGCCTGTAAGGAGTCAATCATGTTCTGTATAATCATGTTAATTTTCGACTCGCACACATTTTGGCGAGCATTTTTGAGTCCAACAATTTCCATTCATCATAATCAAGGTAGTCATTACGTGAACACTTCTACTGATGTTAATAGTCTTAACCGACGAGATAGCGAAATTTAAATTCGAAATGGACGCACGAAACTTAAATGTGTTGACTAACGTTGCAGGCCCCGGCGGGCGCAGCCTGGTTGAGATCCAGCAGATGTCGGGCGCTAACATCCAAATCTCGAAGAAGGGCACGTTCGCGCCGGGCACCCGCAACCGCATCGTGACCATCACGGGCACCCCGACCGCCATTAGCAGCGCGCAGTATCTCATCGAGCAGAAGATCCAGGAGGAGGAGCTGAAGCGCACCCGCCACAACGCCATCTCAGGTCTGATGCAGTAACGGTGCCACGTGTCGTCGCGCTCTAGCGTAGTTGTAGTTCTAGTCACGCCGCCCACGCACGCGGAGCGAGAGGAGTGGCGCGAGTTACCTGACTCTAGTTAAGAAAATAATTTCTTTGTTTTGGTTAGCCGACCTTACGTTCGCAGCTCTCGGGACGGGCCGTCGGCGACTCGCAGGAGGTCAGTGGTCGATCACTCAGCTCACAGGCGGCAGCGGTCAACTGGTCGTCTCGCAGACGGTCAGCGGCCGACTGTAGCTGTGCTAGCTAGACTGTAGATGGTCGGCCACGCGGCCTGTAGACGGTTGCCCATTAGATGGGCGGCCATCGCATTCGTATCGGGGCGTGCAATACGCGCCGCCCGGCCCGTCCCGACACATAGTTACCTATTTACATACATAGATTTATGTATATTAATTTTATGATTTATGATATAAAAATAGTGTTGAATTATTATTATTATTATTATTAATGCTATTATAATTATTATGTTTTTATTGTGATGACAAAAAACTGTTGTTTCGCTCTGCGCAGCAGACGAGAGTTGTTTAAGATTTAACGAATATACGATTGTGATATGTCCTATCACGGAAATTCCTATTCCATACACATTTTATTTTTGTATATCGTCCACAGCGTTCATTTAATATTTAAAACTTGATTTCACTGTAAATGTTACCATTGATAAGTTATTTTTTAGTTTACGTGACGTATTTAGTGTTATTGTAGTGGACGCGTACGTGTCCTGTCCGCGTGGTGTGGCGCGTGGCGCGTGGCTGCCACACGCCACGCGGCGCGGTACCAGACGAGAGCGGCAAGGGGCGACCCTGGCCGGCTAATAATATTGTGACCAAAGGTGGTAACGTCGCTACGCTACCGTACAAGTATGTCTATGTAGAAGTACAAGTAGTGCACGGCGCACGGCGGACGGCGGACGCGCGTCTGACCGTCCGCCGGTAGCCGCGCCTGGGATCTGCTCGCCAGAGTTTCGGTCATTCCTGATTTCTCTCGTTAAAGATCTTTATTTTTTATACATTTATAATTATTGTGTTATAATTTTGTTAGGAATGTTTCATAGTTATTGATTTGTTGTCGGTCTAAATTTATTACGATATAAGTACAAGTTTTATAATAATGCATGTCCAGATTAGTAGAAAATGATATATTTTAAACATTTTAACGCAGATTTCTATATATATATAATTCATGAAGACAATATTATAAAATGTTCTTATTTACATTCGCGATCTAACAGTTAGTGAATACGTTCGAGGCGCGCCACGTTCGAGCTATACATTATTTTGTCGCCGTAGAGAAATATTATTATTAATAAATATAACTGTGATTATTTGCCGACATTATCAAGGTACTTGGTGTCAGTGTCCACGTAGGGTAGACAACAGATACTATCCTCGCCGGAAAATAGTTTTAAGTTGTTCGTTTACCTCACAAGTGCCATCGTAGGTTCTCGTAGCACGGCATGCATGGCCGCCATCTTGTGTACGCCACGCCGCCATTTGCAATATGGTTGAGACTATTTTCCCGTACGTCATAGCTCCGGCCCACTAGCGAGTCACTTCAACAGAGGCGGTCAATACTTATCAAAAGGACAGAAGTACAAAAGAAATCGTAATATTCATAATAAAATATATTCGAATCGGCTTAACTGACTAATTTACGATAGTGTGTAAGAAAAGGAATTGAGAGACATTCTCTGCTAAAGTTTCACTTGTAAGCGTTATTCAAATTGACGTTGAATTAATTAATGAATAAAGAGCACATTGAGACGCCATAACCTCGTACTTCCGTAAAAGTGAAAGTTCTAGTTATAAATATAATATATTGTATGTAAGTTCTCCAGCGCAGTCCAACGACACGTGTAGCTAAGTTGTGTATTGTTACTGGACTATTTACGTGTGTTATGTAGCTAACATTTGCACTAGATGCATTCACATAGTTAGATATATCGTAATATATTCAATCTTTAAAGTGTATAATAGATATCGCTGTTCGAACTTTCTGGTGTTTTTCGACTTTTCTCATCTTAATATATATATATATATATATATGTATATTTGGGGGTAGGTACAGATATCGTTGTGTCAATTAAATTTGAGGTTATGTCACGTTCGCGATGGCCTTGAAATGTATCCGGCATGCTCCGTCGGTGGCCGTTTCGAGACGGCAGTCGGCAGTACGCAGCGGCAGGATCCACGTGGGAGTCAGTTTTTGAAGCGGTCGCGATCGTGCTAAGCCTTTGGGCGTGTTGGCGGAGACCTCCCAACGCATTTGCCTGTGAACGTCGATTTAACAAGCTCAATTTTTATTGGATTAAAATCTTGATTAGTCGGTACGTGTAAGTCAAATACGTCAATTATTCAGAAATTTTAATTTCGGACGCTACTCGTCGCAGAGTATTCAGTTTGTGCGAGCACTGGGGTAGATATAGTTGTACTCTTCTATCTTTCTTCCTTTCATTCTTTCTTTCTTTCTTACTTTCTTCTTTTCTGACGGTGTTATACTCGTCTCTATTGTTAATCGGAATGTTCCTCGCGGTGTTCAATGCGGCTGTAGACGTTCTAACCGGTATATAAGCACGTTTTATTTTTGCGTGCAAGAGACACAACGTACTCTTTGGCTTCGTTAAATTAAAAATTACGGCAAAGAACCTATCGTTTGCAGCCAAGGGACTGTGCAATCCGCGCCACCCTCTCACTTGTTAGCCCTGCCTCCTTACTCGCACAATACGATGTTTCATTCTCTAAACACTGGGAGGAACACGCCGAAAGTTAATAGTTAACAGTGGAATTCTAGTTAGTTATAATTATCATATTAAAACAATATAATGGGTATGTATAGATAATTTAAAATACTGGAAAAAAAATGTTAAAAAGTTGTTATACTGAAGTTGTTACAATATTTGAGAGTATATTATCGTGGATACAAAATAATTTAGTGCGGTAACATTGTCTGAATAAAGTTTATCGCGTGGAAGATAATAAATAGTTGAACGTCGTCCCGACCACTGTGTGGCCCGCGCGCACCACGCGAGCGGCGGCCGCCGTCCGGTGCCGTCCGGTGTCGTCCGGCGCTGTCCGGCGCCGCGTCGCCGCCGCCGCCGCCGCCGCCGCGGTCACGACCTTATCGTACTGTTTCTGTGATACTGACAAATATGCACCGTCGCACGTCGGTTCGACATCGGCCTACACCGCTCGCACCGCCCGCACCCATCCCCGCACCTCCCCCCTCCACCACCCCCCGCCACGTGCGGGTGCCTGTTACTGGTTGTGTCAAATTGTTTAGGTCTCATTGTGCAGGCGGGCGGTGGCGTTCCCGCGCCCGCATCCGCACACGCACGCTCCTCCGTTAGTTGCGCTGTTAGTGTTAAGGGAATTCAATGTTGTAGGCTTAAGATAGTTGTCATTCTTCATTCAGTGGATACGAAGCGAGGTACAAGGTTGGAATGTGGCGCCGGGACGGGTGCCAACTCGGAGTCCGCGCATCTCATCCTCCTTTTAATTTTAATAGCTAAATGTTGTTGAATTTGTTGATAGCGTGGTTTATTGTAATTACTGTAGGTAGTTTAGTGGGTATACAAGTGAAAGGTGGCAGCCGTTGGGTGCGCTAGGCTAGAGTAACGTTCGATACTGTGTTTAGGAAAATGGCTGTGCGTTCAAGTCGAACTCAACATTAAGACATCACCATAACGCTTGTTTTTGGATGGGCGCGGATCGGACACGACCACCGCGCCGCTGCCGCCGGACACGCGCCGGCCACGTGGCAGCGCGCGCGCTTTGAACTCACAATCTGTATATAATTGCATAACATTTTTTCATTTACGTTCTTCTCCTTGCTCATTGTCATCAATTTATTAAAGACTGAGGAATCAACTTGCGCATATTGACATCGTCACTAACGCGTCCCAAACGGTAGGGATTATTGTATAATTGTTTATCATTAAAATTTTCACTCGGTTCCATGTGGAATACTCCGCAAGGATGTGGTCGTGTGCGATTCCCGCGGTACACTCGCAGTTTTCTACCTAATTTGTATTATCTTTGTGTGAGGCGCGCCGCGGTGGCTGCGAGCCGTCGCGGCCGCCGCGCCCGCCGCGCCCCACTTCGTACGCGTTTGAGTTCCATACGGCCTGCGAGTGTACGGTGTGAGAGCGGCCGTCCGCCGCGGACGCCCGCCGCCCGCCAGTCCGCCGCGGCCGAGCGGCGGGCGCCCGCGGCGGACGGCCGCGTACCGGAGTCTCAAGCGCCGTTCAGTCGTTGTCTCATCAACCTTTACACATGTTGAGATTGATATGTTATACTAATTCTATTGAATTATAACTTGTTGCGTATTATAAGTATGTATAGACAGCGCAGCGCCGGCACGCCGCGCCGCGCCGCGCCGCGCCGCGCCGCGCCGGTGCGCCGTGTATAGTATATGTTGAAACATTTGTTGCTGTGTAGTTCAGTGACGGAATTTTTATTTTATTATTATTTTTGTTAACTTGGTTTACTATAAACGGGTCTGCAATGTTACGTATGAGAATAATAATTAAGTTTGAATGAAGTGTTAAATAATTTTTGAATTTTAAATTCATTATATTTTAGTCAATGTTTATAATTTAGTTGAACAGATTAATTTCCTAATGAAATGTTATTTTGCAATGTTGTAAAAGATAAGAGGTAAAATGGAAGGTTAAAATGTCTTAGTGTTTAAAAATCGAAAACCAATTAAAAGGTACCTTGAACATTGTCTATATTATATTAACATTAAATAAATGCAAAAATGAAATTGTTTCAATTACCATCGCCAACAATAAGCACCCGTCCACGCCGTGCGTACTACGACCAAAGACAAGACAACACAGGAATAATGAAACATCAAATCAAAGAAGAAAGTATAAAATAGGATATTTTTCTTTTTTGGCTGATTGTTTTGTACAACTAGGTCATTTTGCTTCTTCACTAAGAACTAAAATTCCAAATTTATTAATTATTTATTTTCTGAAACTTTGGCTTCATCAGAGATGTTCTTCAAAGGAATTGTAGGTATAGAGATGTTCATGTCAATATGATATGAACCAGATTGTCTTGACTCGTTGTAAAACATATGAAATAGTCGAGTATATATAAAATACAAATACTAGCTAACTCTAATTTACCAGAGGGAAACTTTGTACAAAAGTCGTTTGCTTGGGCATCTCTGTCCTATTCGTGTTTCTACCGTGAAGCAGTTGTGTTTGCATGACTGTGTTTCGGTTGAAGGGTGGGATATGGCAGTGAATTTACAGGGTACAGAGGAATTACACCTGAGTCCTCAGGAATGGCAACGTATGAGGGGTATCATGGGCGAAACAGTATACTCTGTTATGTCCATGGTACTGCTCATGTCTATAGGCGACAGTTATTGTTTTCCATCAGGTGGACCTTCAGGTTGTTAGCCATTCTAAGATGCATAAAAAACAAAACTAGATTCATAATAGGGAATTATATTGGTAACAATCTGTTTCAAGGCAAAGCGATTACGTCAATAATTGTAAGCGTCAAATAATGCCTACATAAAATGCCAACTTTGTTACAATCACGAATGCCGTGTGAATTAGTCATCATTATGAATACATCAAGTTGATGACAAAAAATTTTAATAAAAACATGTTTTGGTGATTATTAAATTGGTCTGACAGTTACGTGTCTGTTACATGTTTGTTTATAAAACAGAGGTGATGATCAACACGCTACCCGCCTGACATGAAGCGGTCTCTACAGCCTATATACCAGGGGTGGTTTTTTTTAATGGGTGATAATGGAATGGTAACCCCATTCGCGCTATATCCCATCCCAGTATACACTGGTGGGACATCAGTGAAGGATGATAGGTGAGGATGAAGCAGGTCAGTTAGCCCATCGTGACGAATTCAATAAGAATTGTTCACGATGGTTTCCAGGGGGAACCACGTGAAGGTCGACCTGAAAAGGCAAATTGCTAACAATGGGGCTATCAAAGTCCATTGCTAACAATCCCTTTTCCCTTAATCAACTAGGGGTGGTCAATCGGTCGAGTTTTAGTCCAGCCATTCGTGGCAAGGAAAAAATATATTTTGCTAATCCAGCGATAGATAATCAGACGTAACGCTCACACTAATATAAATAAGTAGTTACTAAGAAAAATTTTCAGTTTTGTTTTTCCTCTTAATAAAATAAAAAATACTACAATACGACATAATTGTGTACTGAACTATGTAGTTTCATTTGTGATTTCAAGATGTATGTAATTAGTAGATCGTACAGGGTTTTGTTAGTAAACAGTAGATCTTGGAACTAATGAAGTCTTCCAGTACTGTCTGCGATGTCGAAGGCATCACTCCCGCATAGCAACTCTTGTGACATGAAGATCCAGTAATACTAAAGCTACCTATATCACTCCAATATTCAGAGTCAACAACAAAGGATTGTACAAGTTTTTTTTTTTTATGGGTGAAAATGGTACAGTGACCCCGCCTACGCTAGGGCCCAGTGAGGGATGATAGGTGGGAATGGAAGCAGGTCAATTGGTCCATCGTGACGAATTTAACAAAAATTTAAGAATTTACGACGATGGTTTTCAAGAGAGACGACATGGAGGTCGACCTGATTGAGTATTACTAGCAATGGAGTCACTAGTACTAACAACCCATTCTCCCTCCATCTGCGTGAGTACATATGTTCTAATTGAAAGGTTATATTAATGGGCGAAAATGAAATGGTTTCACTTTCCATCAGGTAAGCCGTATGCATTCAGTCATAGTTGCATTAATAAGAGGATCATTTTAAATAATACAAGTTACAGATGCAAAATGATTATATTGACACTTAAATATTAAATAGCTTAAAATACTTAGGTACGCATGAGATTCATATAAACACGTGGACGGAATACAAACTTCGGATATTGTTCGAATAAATTAACCTGCCTTTATCAAACACAAATTGCATTCAATCGTGGAAAAGATGCATTCTATGAGCCTACAACAGTCTTGGCTTATGATCGAATTACTTCTTAAATATTACACGCATAAATCTACTTGACAATTTTATCAACAAATTCACAGTTTTAATAAAATACAAAAATACATAGGCAGCCAATAAAAATTGTCATGTTTTTAAACCATTTTTTACATTAATATTACGCAGTTATTTAAAAGCTTTAAAATTTTATAATATCTATTCAAGAATGTCTATATAGTATTTTTTTTTACAAATTCGAGACGAGTATTTTGGCACCCGTCGTAAACATGCATCTATAAATAATAATATGGCTAGAAATATAAATATTTTACCATAATAATACAAATGAAATATTGAAAAATACATTTCGAGTATCTATTACATTTTATATACAAATAAGTTAATATTTTAGCCCTGGACCTGTATGAAAAATCAAAGTACGTTTGGAAACAAAGCCCGGATAAACTATTTTGAGAAAGTTCAATTTCTAAATCAGCACAAACGGGCATCGAATCGGGGACTCAAAACATAAAGAAACGTCCCCATTACTGGGCCCAGAGATATTTTTTAGAGATCTTTAAATAATATAATTTTCATTTCCCATTGAATTGGAATTAGGATTCGCCTGAGAAGGCGACGTATGTACACTACACGGTATATTTAATTACTTCATATTACTATAGTATAAAAAGTACATAACTCCTTGTTTTAGATGACAAATATGAAACACCAGGACACAACAATGATCCATCACATCAGTGGAGGATGCATACAGGTCAGATCGCCCCACAGGGCCAATAAAAATAAATCTCATTAGTTTCCAAGTGGATCGTAAATAGATCAATCTAACAGTATACAATTCATTTAAATAGGTATTGTCACGTAAGTTATGAGTATCAAATCTGATATTTTATTTCGACATACAAAAGTATTCGCTAAAACAAATCCTTAGAAGCACCTACATAACGTAGTTAAATATGAAGCAATATAACAGTCCGCCACTGTGCGCTATTTTATTAGTAATAACGATAAAAACAGATATTTATGGCGTCCCTTCTGGTGCAAACAAATGAAGTGAAGCCACTACGAAGAGAAACAAAATATACCTATAACAAACATGAGACTAGTAAAATTTTATGACCGAGAAAAATTACCGGAAAATATAGATTGCTTATACTTACATACATACTCGTCTCCAAGGAAACATTAATACTCGCAGATAGTTTAAATAGAATACACTTATAATATCTAACTAGTTAGGTTAATTTATCTTAGAGCATAGTTTTGAGTAACACTACGCTGCTTTAATGCAAAATATACAAATATTAATACATCAAATACTTGTTGCGGTTTTCTTTCATCTTTTTTTTTTAATACTAGTACACTTTTAGTAGCCAAATGGGCAAATCGCAGTCTATATAATTGTCACGCATGCCTGTTTGAATATCAAACGATCAAACACTGATTATATAGGTAGAGCATATGCACTTTTTTTTTTTCTTATATATCTCGGCTATTACTGGGATTAGCTGAAAGAATTATGGAAGATCGTAATACTGGGTACAGGCGACTCAAAGTAGCGCCCGATGACATTAATAATAACAAGTAGTCATGAGATACACTAAGCATTAAGTTCCAAATAATTGTCATCTCTTCCGGACGTATACAAATATTTTCTAGAGTCTATTCTTATACGTAATATAATAAAATATGTCAGACAGAGATTAAGCTACTGAGAATGATGAGTGAATCGAGTACTTAGCTGCCGCATTATCACACAGTATCAATACTAGATACAAGTAATGGATACACGGAAAGATTTATCGCTTCAATTAATCATACCGATCCCATCTCGCTATACAAAATCGTTAGCAATGTCGTTGGTCGATATTAAAAATCGACGGAACACGTGCAAACATCGTTCCACGTATGTCGGAATTAAGCTAATATACTAGTATGAAGCAGTTAATCTTTGGATATGATAATTTAATTGGCTAATGTCAGTATATTTGATTAATGCTCAAAGCATAAACTATGATATAACTTCATATTGTGGAACATAGAGTTCATAATTGAAACCGTTGTAATGTGTGAAACTTAAGCTCCTCGTGCCGGGTGCTTCGGCGAAGGGCATAAGTTCGTGCACGAGTGACGAGAATGACGGCCTCTCGTCGGGATCCACCTGCCAGCACTGCAGGCACAGCTGGAACAGTTCGTCGCCCACGTATGATGGCTGCGACGGCCGCATACCCCTCAACACTCTAGCTGCTACGTCTTTGTTTCCACTATGAGAATATGGTGTAGCTCCTATAGTGAATGCTTCCCACATCAAACATCCAAAAGACCATACATCAGCTTTAGGGTTGTACCGCGTCTGACGAAGCATTTCGTGTGACATCCACCTAGTGTAGTCAGGAGTTTCATGCAGTGGTCTGATATGGGACAATCCAAAACCAGACACTTTCGTGACCCCATTTGCAGTGATCGCGATGTTACGACAGCATAACCGTTTGTGTGCAATCTTCTTGCTATGCAGGTAGTCCATCCCACGAGCGATGTCAACACAGGTTTGCAGTATTTGGTTTTCAGTAACTAGACAAAACTTATTATTCTGGAGATCTCTGTGTCTACTCTGCAATAGCATATCTTTTAATGACTGCTTTGTGTCCTGCAACACCACAAATAGTGTTGTATTTGTTTCACAGATACCAATCAGAGAAATGACATTTTCATGCTCACTGGATTTAATTAAAAGATCCAACTCCTGTAACATGAGTCTTTTGTCAGGTTTCTCCAACTCCCTATCAGATATCACCTGGACCAAGCCTGAAGTCTGAGCCCCGTGTTGTTGAACTTTACCTTTTGTAAATTTCCCATAGCTGCCAAGTCCAATGACACAAGATATATCAATGTCAATGAGGTTTCTTGGAATATTCCACAATTTACGTTTCAAGTTGCCATAGTAGTCAACTCTTTCGTCTTCATCTTGGAGAAAGCCAGAGTTTTCTATCTCAATACAGGGTTCACTAAGACTTAAGGGCAGTGATTGAGATCCACGCTGCATTCGGGCCAGTTGGATTTTCTTACGCAATATAATGAGGAGTCCGACACCTATCAACAGCAGCACCACTCCAATAGCAATGGCAGCACCCAGTGCCACCACCATTGGAGAAATCTCTTCAGGCTCATTGATGTTTAAGATGATCTTTTTAGTTGATTCAGCATATCTCACTTTTCTCACATGATCCTTCTCACTGACAACACCGAGAGACACATCAATATCATTAGTTAGAGGCAGGGGTGCATTGTAGAACCCATTATATGTACTCCTATCACCAATTATGAAATCCTGCTTTATGTCATCTGGATCTAGCTCAGCAGTGATATAGTAAGGGAGGCCTTGTTCATCTGCATAGGAGTGATTACCAAGATTTTCAATTAGAAATCCTTGCTGGTACAATTCAACAGAGACAACTATTCTATACATAGATATAGGGCCATTAATATTCTTAGCTTCTGGAATGTGAACGAGCATTCGATCTCCATGTCTCTCCTTTATCTCTATGTCCGGAGGGCTAGGGTCCGGTGTGCCAATCACTGTAGTGACACTGGCTGTAATATTGGGCCCTTCCTCGTCATGGTTAGTTGCAGCAACACTGACATTATATGTAGACCCCGGATGCAAATTTACTAATACAAATTGGTATGTGCTATTTGAGACCCTCCATTCAAAAGGTGGCAAAGGGTAATCTGCATAACTTTCTATGGGTGTGGCTCTTATCATATAACCAGTAATAATTGAAAATGCCTGTGGTCCGGTCCAGCGTAAACGGGCCGTGGTTTCAGTGAAATTCGACACATCCAAGGAGGCGGGCGGGCCAGGAGCTCTCACATCGGTATCATACACGCTGCCAGCATTATCTCCACCACATTTCTGAGTTTCATTCTTAGGACATGGTGTATCACAAGCCTCTATAGGAATCCTGAATTGGCCAGGTTTATTACCGCAGAAACAAGTAGACTCGTTACCGATAAGGGCGTATTTGTAATAAACTTGTTCACAAGCCGACAAACACACGTCTACGGATTGTCCTGTGTGAGTATTCAACAAATCCTCGATTTTAAATCTGTAGCAGCCGATGTAGTCCCCGCGATCACTTTCACAGCAACTAAAGCATATAATGACCGCCGTGAAGATATTAATCCACGGTCTACCCATTGTATACAACTATTGAGTCATCTCACCGCAGTAACATTAAATGTTCAGTAAACATACCTAATTAAAACACTTTACATAATCATATGTATAACATGTCAGTAAATAATAATTTCTGATTTTACAAAATAAGATATATATCAGAATAAACGTGACCAGATTAAAATAATTCAAATTACATCGATAAAACACAGGAAAAATGTTAAAGCCGTTGTATTTATATTTTGACGTTAGGAATATTGCCAATTGAAATAATGTTTTCGGGCTTAATAGATTTCAAAAAGGGCTAAATTAGACAAAGTTTAAAAAATTTGCTATTTTGTTCTCTATTACTTTAGTATCGTCGTTAATAAAAGGAAATGACAAAAATATATATATATATAAAACAATTTACTAAGATTTATTAAGGAATTTATATTGTTGTTAACAACTCTAGCATAGAATAGACCACACCTTTTTTTCCTGTGGATGTCATAAAGGCAATTAAAGAAATTTAATGGTAAAGAAATGGACAGTAGCGTTCGCCTGTAAACTTTACCAAAAACTACACATAAACCTATATCTTTAAAAGCCAGACTTTGGTTGCAAAATCTCTACCAATATTGGTAACTATTGGCAAAACTCTTCTTATGAGGAAGTAATCCTTCATTTGTTCAGCAATGAACAATTAACGACTGAATTGAAATGATGGATTCTAGCATTTTGTCCATTTGAAAGGTTTTTGTACGTCATTTTTCATATTTTTTTCTTTGTTTTACAAGTCTTAATTTAGGTCTAGTTGAGAAGGCGAGTTGAAATTAGAAAGTTTGAATGAAAAAAAAAATAACTAAATAAGCCAAGCAATTAAGTTGGCAACACTAGCTGTTGTTGTTTTCCAATTCGCGTTGAAAACAGGCAAAGGAGTGTGACATGCGATATGTAAAATTAATATTCCTTAGTGATGCGATTAGAGTTGATACAAATTTACATAATTGTTTCAGTATCTATAATTTATTCAATCAAATAAATCCTTACTTTTATTATGTATTGAGTATATATAGATAATTTGGCATGTTTTTTTTTTATCATAACAGTGTTGAAATTAACTAATAGTTAAATAAAAAGTATTGACATTGACTATATATAATAATTATATATATTATTATATTATTTATTATCTACTTTGCTTTCCGTAACTGAAATCAATATCATAAATCATATTAAGTCAAAAATATCTATTTCTATAATATATAAGAATAAATTATTTTGTTTCAATTACAAAGGTTTTTCATAATATTTTTTAATTAAAAATGTAAGAAGCTTCACGAGAACTGGAGATAATAGACACCTGTCTACGTGCCCATTATTTCATATTTTATATACAAATACAGTTATCAAATAACTTTAAATTTTGTATTAATAAGTACTAGGTGACGGAACTTTTCACTTAGCTGTAACATTAAATATAACCAAAAATAGTTTTATTACTACGAAACATTGTGAGAATTCGAACTATAATCCTTTATATTTTCGTATATATTAAAATAACTGAATGTAGGCTATTGATGTCTATATACATAATTTTAGATGTTAAATCAATCGATTCAATCTGATAAACTATTTCAGCTACATCACAACACTAAACATAAATGACAGTTACAGAAAGCAAACAGTTACTTATTTAATTTTTAAAAATGTTTGAACGTTATTTATTTTGAAACGAGCGAAATATAGTGTGAATTGTGAGTTTATGGATAAATGTTGTTGTTGTATTTATTGCTAACAAATACACAATTATAAAATGTCCACCAGATCCGGAAAACGTAAGTAATGAGGATTATATTTGTTGTATTGTGTATTTATGAATAGTCTGAATGTAAACATTGAAAACTCTAATTACAGGGATCCATGCCTCATTTCATGAGAGCGAAGTACCTGTTGATACTGAACTTGTTTGTAAAAAAGAAAAAAAGACCCGAAACAAACCATCAAAAGAGAATTTAGAAGACACCGTGTCTACTGTTACTAAGTCAAAAAAACGAAACAACTATGTCAGTTATCCTACAGACGACGATGTAACATCTGAGAGCGGCGTTACTAATGAGAACGAAGGCCAGCAGAGCAGAGTATTACGAAGAAATATGTTAAAAGAGCAGAATTTAAATGTACCCAATGGCGAAGTAGAAAAGCCCATGGTTGATGTAAAAAAAATTATACGACAAACTAGACGGACTAGGAAATTTTCGGAAGATAATATAGAAACGGTTACAGATCAAGAAGAATGTATTCCCGAAGTTGTAATGGAAACTGCGACTGGTAAAGTTAAAGGTAAAAAAAATAAGAAGAAAAAAGCCAAAAGTCAAAGTGAAGTTAATGGCGATAAAGAAAAGATTGTCTCTAAAAAACAATCTAAGAAAAAAAGAAAGAAGACAACCAGCAAAAATGACTGTAATGTTGAAGAGAGCAGTGTTAATAAGTCTGACATGTCAGTAGACTCATTCCATAGTGCTGCAGGCAGCTCATTACATGATGATTATGGTGTAAACCATGAAATAAATGTATCATTTGACAAATCTTCCAAAGGAGTTATTATAGTTGACAGAAATACACATGATAATGTCACATCTGAGAATGGAACTAAAACTAAGAAAAAATCATCTACATTTGAAGTTATTTACACTTCTATAAATAAAGACAAACCTAAAAATTCTCACAAGAATCCTAAAATTGTAGTTAATGAAGATAGTGAGTTACACAATATGAATAATACTTTTGGTAAAGAAACAAGGAAGAAGAGGAAACCTAATGCCAGAAGTGATACAAATGTGACAGAGAAGGTATCGGGTAAAAACTCAGATACATATGAGAAATTGAATACTACATTTGAAAAAGAAACAAATGGGAGTTCTTCAAAGATACTGAATAGTACATTTGAGAAACCAAATGAAAGAGAATCATTAATTATCAACATAACTCCTGAGACAGGTGTGAGTAAAAGAAAATCATTCAGGTCCAATTCGGAGGCACCAAAATTGTTTAACAGTACTTTTGATGAACCAGATATTGATGAAGTGACAAATCTTAACAGTACCTTTGAAAAAGATATTTGCAACATAAACAATTCTATTAAAAAAGTAACTAAAAACCTTAACACTACCTCTGAAAAAGACAACAGTACAAAATCTGGTAAAATTGCATCTGGAAAGTTTAACAATACTTTTGAAAAAAGTGATCAGAAGATAAAAACCTCGATATCAGGTTCCGATACTCTAAACCCTTTAAATAGTACATTTGAGAAGTCAAATAAGAATGGAGTGAAGATCAATACAACATTTGATAAAGACGAAACCAATTTGAACACCACATTTGACAAAACCACTGCTAATGATAGTACCAGTAAGTCATCATTGATCACTTCTGATGACTCTGAAAACTTGACCTTTGACAAGATAGCTGACAACACAAGAATCAGTGTAAGTGATGATTCTAGAACTGAGAACATTGTTAATACAACACCTGTATTAATAGACAGTAGTATGGATAATTCTAGAACAAGCAGTGAAGCTAATAAAACCTCTATGGTGAATGTACCGCTTACTCCTTTGAAAAGAGAGGGGACCTTCACTAAAGATGGCCCTGAAGCTGGCAATGATAGTTTTAGCGAAAGAACTCCTTCTAAACAAATGTCACTGTCTACTCCTGGTTCTACTCCGTTCCCCTTCTCAAAGAGTTCTCAGAGGGAAAAAAGTGTTTTGAATGTAACCCGGTCTATTGAGAAGACGGGAAGGCTGTCAGTGTCATTGGACACTACCACAAATGCTCCCACAAGGACCACTAGAGTAATGTTCTGCAGTCCAGTCAACAATCCCGCTGTTGTGATGCAACACAGAAGGAAGGTGATCAAATCAAATTTGAAAGGATCCAACAAGAGCTTCATCGTCAATGATGATGGTAAGTAGATCTATTATACTTAATAATTATTATTATATTTAGAACTTTTAAGTATATATATATTCGAATGGGTGAAAATAAAATAGTATTCCTTGTTCACACATTGTGATTGCACATCACACTCATCACAGAACATTTTTTTTATATTTTATACAACTTAGAATGGCAAATAAGCTGATGGCCCACCTGATGGAAAGTGGTAACCGTCGCCTATAGACATGAGCAGTACCATGGACATAACAGAGTATACTGTTTCGCCCATGATACCCCCATGCGTTGCCATTCCTGAGGACTCAGGTGTTATTCCTCTGTACCTAGTAAATTCATGCTGTATTCCACCCTTCTATTAGAAGCACAGCCATGCAAACACATCTGCTTCACGGTTGAAACACCAATGGGACAGAGGTACCCAAGCAATCGACTTTTGTACAAAGTCTCCCTCTGCTAATATATATACATATATATATATATATATATATATATATATATATATATATATAATATTATATCAATATTTTTGACTTGAATATATAGGATTATATGGGAGATTGTATCTCCCATATAATCCTATAAATATTTAAATTCTAATTTCCTTAATTATTATTAGCCCATAATATTATAAATCGGAGGGAAAGGGATTGCTAGTAATGGGGTCAAATACCTCCATTACTAGCAATATACCCTGTCAGGTCGATCTCCACGTGGTTCCCCCTGGTAACCATCGTGGTTGAATATGTCAGGATGGGCTAACTGACCTGCTTTCATCCTCATCAGTCATCTACCACTGGTGCCCCGCCAGTGTATACCGATAGCACAGGCGGGCTTACCATACCATTATCACCCATAAATAAAAATTATAAACAAAAAAACTGTGTCTGTGTGTTTTTTACTGAACAATGACTGAACAGACGTTATAAATCTTGGCACGGGTCAATGAATTCATTGACAGATCGTACATTTTCGTTATCACGTCGACATATCAAGTGAGGTGGCGACATCTGGTGACTTACTTTATCCATATACAAAATGACACAAGTACAGACAAGCAATAGACAAATAGACCACTAGTACAGTATTTATATGATGTATATTTGTATGCAGACAATGCGAGAAGTCCGGCGCCGCGCAAGCGCTCGTACACGCACAACGACGCGGAGAACGAGCGTGCGAAACGCAAGCGGCTCGCCGACGACCAGCAGCTCTCGGTGGACAGGCTCTCGCGGCCCAGGACCTCCGGCGCTGCAGGTGACCACCAGTCAATACTTACTGCCTTATTCATAGTTATGACTTGTAAACGGAAAAGATTCTTAATTCATCTTAATTTTTTTCCAATATTCGTTCCTTTTTTTATATATATATATATATATATATATATATATATATATATATATATATATATATATATATATATATATATATATATATATATATATATATATATATATATATATATAGATATAATACATATATATATATATATAGATATAATACATATACATAGAGAATCTAGCACCACTGGGGGGCCACCTCCAAGTGGCCCCCCCCTGGAATTCATCGTACTGTATTCCAAGTGCATTCATCACGATGGGCTAACTGACCTGCATTGTCATCCTCACCTATTATAACTGGTGCTTCGCCAGTGTATACCGATAGCGCAGGCGGGGTTACCATTCATTCATCATCCATTAAAAAAAAAACAGCGTCCCTCTTATAAAATCACCAAAAGTTAACTGCGGTTGCCAACCCGCCTGCCAAGCATAGCAACTACTGCTAAGAGGAACTACTGCCATGGGGAAGGCTATGTTCAACAGAAGATGGTTAATGGCTGATACAAACAGTAACAGCTTTACTTTCATGTTGGTTTTGTACAAAAGTCGTTTGCTTGGGTACCTCTGTCCCATTCGTGTTTTTACCGTGAAGAAGTTGTGTTTGTTTGGCTGTGTTTCGGTTTGATGGGTGGGATATGGCGTGAATTTACAAGGTACAGAGGAATAACACCTGAGTCCACAGGAATGACAACGCATGGAGGGTATCATGGGCGAAACAGTATACTCTGTCATGTCCACAATACTACTTATGTCTATAAGTGACGGTTACCACTTTCCATCAGCTTGTTTGCCATTCTAAATTGTATAAAAAAAAAAATTTGCTTTCAATTATAACTACACTGTTTTAGCAGCGTAATCTTTTCATCGTCCATTAAATATTTATTAGTAACAATATTCTTAAAACTGATGTTAGTAAATTTACATACACAATACACATACACACACATACATACATATAATATATTAAGCAGTATACATATAATCACCGCTGTACAATTCCATTGGAAATTGCGCAGCAGTGATTAACGTACACACAGTGCGGCCTGCTTGCTATCATACTCAGGATGCTGTTGGCGCTGGCACGTACTCTGCGCACCTGCCTACCTTTTTCATCATTGCATCGTGGCATAAAAACAATCTACACGATGCTCGGCGAACACCCCTGACGCGCTACAGAATTGTGGCAGCCCCATCCTGAACGCGTTATTATATTAGATACCAAGGTCGCTGTAGGATTTTTGAGTATATACAGCCCACAGGTTGCATGCGTAGAAAGATGTGCAACATGACCTAAATAATAAAAATAAAAAAACAATAAAATTTATAATATATTTATTTATTTATTTACAAGAAACATTATTGTATGGAAGGCAGTCTTGAAATAGTACTCAGTGTATATAAATTCATTAATTTTAACATCATCGTCATAATCATGATGATCTCAGTCTTTAAGTGGCCACTACATAAGCCTCCCTTATGTGGTGGACAGTGTGGTAACTCCTCAAAGAGTTTAGCCAGTACTTGCCACGCTTGGAAGGCGGATTGGCAATCGCAGTTAGGCTTTGGAGATGTTTAAAGAGGAACGCTGCTGCCCAACTCTCGCCCTCCCTTAGTTACCTCTTACGACACTCATGGGAAAGGAAGGGGTGGCCTATTCTGTGTCGAGACCAAACTGTAAATTTTAACTTTTTTATAAAAAAATTGATGAAGTGACGACCTGAAATGCATTGCAGGGAGTTAGTGGATGCAGGTGGCTCAGGACCGTTCTTTATGGCAGAATATGGGGAAGGATTATGTCCGGCAGTGGATGGACAATGGTTGAAATGGATGAATGAATTACTATTTAATTCTCATCTATCACCTCTTCACTGTTACTCACCAGCGTATGCCGATAACGCTGCCTGGATTAGCATTCCATATCATCCATTAAAAAAGTCACGTCGATTATCGTTCTCGCGGTCTTATTACAAGTTTAGACAAAGGAAACTGTAATAATAACACAATAGAACTTTTACTGTTCCTTGCAAATAAATTCATGACTATAGAAAAAGGGCCAACAAATTCCGTGACTCGGGGACAAGCTCGTACCTACTACCTATGGTGGAACAAAAGTTACTGAGACTTGCAGTAACAAAGTATGTTGCGCTATGCGACGTTAGCTAAATTACAAACGTCGCATTACAAGTTCGGCACGAAGTATTCTAAATTCTTGGAAATGAGGACACTAAAAAATATAAGCATTATTTATTTATTTAACACTTTATTGCACCAACATAACAGGATTTGTTGAACGATTTTCAATACGTATAGTGTAGTACAAAAGGCGGTCTTATTGCTAAGCAATCTCTTCCATACAACCTTTGGGTAGAAGGAATTAAAGAATAAATAGGTAGGTGGCGCGTTAAAAAAATAGATTTGTAAAAAATAATATCTGTGACAGCATAGTCATATACACATACATAAATAAACACATACATCCAAATATATACATATATATACAAACACATACATATACAAATATATATACATGCAAACACATAAATACATATATACGCATATATATTACTAGCTGATCGGACAAATGTTTGCCACTACCGCCACCTACCGGGTCCGGCGGTTTCAAAGATCCGCATAAACGAACACGCGAGATTTTTATATAATAAGATTAGTGATAGGCCGTTATTTTTTTTTATTTCTATATTAGAATACACAGCCGTCTGCCCCGGCATAGAATGGGCCACCCTCCTTTTTTTATTCAACTTCGAACGGCAAACAAGTTGACGGCCCACCTGATGGAAAGTGGTAACCGTCGCCTATAGACATGAACAGTACCATGCACATAACAGAGGATACTGTTTCGCTCATGGTACCCTCCATGCGTTGCCATTCCTGAGGTCTCAGGTGTTATTCCTCTGTACACAGTAAATGCACGCCATATCCCACCCTTCAAACCGAAACACAGCCATGCAAACAAAACCCTTCCTTTCCTTTGGTAGTCGTAAGAGGCGACTAAGGATGGACGAGAAATGGACAGCAGCGTCCTACTTAAAACATCTAAAAGTCTACCTGCGGTTGCCAACCCGCCTGCCAAACGTGGCAATTACTGGCACAACTAACATTATAGAGAAGGCTTATGTCCAGCGGTGGACAATTAAAGGTTGAAATAATAAAATAATAATTAGAATGCACAAGGATACCGCTCTTTTTTTAATTTAATTTAAACGGTTTTATTTAGCTCAACCTGTACGGTATTTATTTATTAAACGGTTTTTTTATTTGGGTCAAAATTAGAAATTGGAATTTAAGCACCTTCCCGTTGTCAGATTGATCTGAAATTTGGTACACACATTTAATTTAGATGACAATACAATATAATAAAATCCATAACATTATAAATCTAAGATGGCCGCCGATACAAAATGGCGGATTACATATTTTTCCTTAACCCCCTCAATATGGGTATCAAATGAAAGGGCTACACTAGTAAAACACGATGATTATGTCAAAATTTAAAATTCAAGATGGACGCCGTTCCAATATGGCGGACTAGGTACATATTTTTCCACAACCACCACAATTTGGGTATCAAATAATAGGACTACACTGCGACACCCAGACCCTAGACACACAGACACTAGACACTCGGATACAAGACACTCAGACACTAGACACACAGACACTAGACACTCGGATACAAGACACTCAGACACTAGACACTCGGACACTCAGACACTAGACACTTGGATACAAGACACTCAGACACTAGACACTCGGACACTAGACACTCAGACACTAGACACTCGACACTAGACACTCGACACTCAGACACTAGACACTCGACACTCGACACTCGACACTTGACACTCGACACTCAGATACTAAACACTAGACACTAGACACTCCGATTTTCGGATACAAGACACTCAGACACTAGACTCTCAGACACTTGACACTCAGACACCCAGACACTAGACACTCAGACACTAGACACTCAGATACTAGACACTCGAAACTCGACACTCGACACCACAATATGGGTATCAAATAATAGGACTACACTGCGACACTAAACACTAGACACTCCGATTTTCGGATACAAGACACTCAGACACTAGACTCTCAGACACTTGACACTCAGACACCCAGACACTAGACACTCAGACACTAGACACTCAGATACTAGACACTCAGATACTAGACACTCGAAACTCGACACTCGACACTTGACACTCGACACTCGACACTCGACACTCGACACTTAGACACTGGACACTCAGACACCCAGACACTAGACACTCAGACACTAGACACTCGGATACAAGACACTCAGACAACTAGACTCTCAGACACTTGACACTCAGACACCCAGACGTTAGACACTCAGACACTAGACACTCGACACTCGACACTTGACACTCGGCACTCGACACTTAGACACTAAACACTAGACACTCAGACACTCGACACTCAGACACTTGACACTCGGCACTCGACACTTAGACACTAAACACTAGACACTAAACACTCAGACACTAGACACTCGACACTCAGATACTAAACACTAGACACTAGACACTCCGACACTCGGATACAAGACACTCAGACACTAGACTCTCAGACACTTGACACTCAGACACCCAGACACTAGACACTCAGACACTAGACACTCGGATACAAGACACTCAGACACTAGACTCTCAGACACTTGACACTCAGACACCCAGACACTAGACACTCGACACTCGACACTCGACACTCGACACTCGACACTCGGCACTCGACACTCGACACTCGACACTCGACACTCGACACTCGACACTCGACACTCGACACTCGACACTCGACACTCGACACTCGACACTCGACACTCGACACTCGACACTCGACACTCGACACTCGACACTCAGACACTAGACA